TGCTGTAGCGGAAGTTTAGTACAATTACTTTTGATGAAATACTCCAAATCTCCACCCTCCATAATTGCACTTGCTTCTGTTGCTTGCTACTTTCTAACGGCGGTGATAGTGGTGCAGTGGCGCTATCTATCTTCTATCGATTAGATTTATGATTCGAAAATTATACAAGTAGGGTAGACATGTGGATATTATCCGACTGAACAAAACGTGCATTTATCTAACAGGTTCGTTTTCCACTGACCTTATTTAGAGCTATTTTCCAAAATCCTATGGAGAAATCCCATTGCTTTTTTGTCGAGGGAAACCGCGCGCAGCTTACTTCCGGGTTTTAGGACACTGCAACATTTGATTTGATTTGATTGTGAGGCAAGGGAAGCCAGCCGTCTTTGGCTTCCCTTGGCATGGCCCTGACTAATCACAGGTTGGCAGGGGCATGAAGTGAGCCTCATCTGATTGGTCAATCCCTCCATTTTTTTTCACCAAGGGAAGCCAATTTCGGCTGGCCTCCTCTCGCAACAGAGTGCTATCTACTGTTTCACCATAACATCCAGAGGGGCGCTGTTTCACTCTTTGTAAAATACTCAATGAGAATGGGGGAGAGACCGGCCAGCAGCAACACACAAGAAATAATTTCCGAAACTAAACTAAGTGTTTTTATTTATTTATTAAAATGATAACTACAATCCGAAAAAACTTGGCCTCCAGGAGAAAATGCCACTGCCCATGTCAGGCTGGATCATGCTGGCAACAGGCTAGAGAGGTAGGCCTCCTTACCTATGTCTTCCCAGAGCATATTCTGAGTGTCTTGGTAGGTTGAAGTGCCTGGAAAACCTCCAGCTTACATTTCCTGCTGGCTGGCACTGAAATACTTCCCACGCCGACTCTGTCATCTTTATCTTATTCCTTGGAGTGTCACTGTATCGTATTCAACTGGTGCCTCAAAGTAAGCAGTGTCATGATGTGGTGCATCATGGTACTGCAATGCTTCCAAGCAAATGCTTTCAGTCTTAGAGTACTCCACGGATTCAGCTATGCACTAATATAACATTGTCAGAATTTTGCTGGATACAGAGATATAATATTTTGTATTCAATGCATTATTCTTATAAAAAACCTGGGCCAACATAATGCAGTTCATAATTCACAGAGTACATAATTTAGGGGCAGGTATTGTTTTCATTCTATTCTGTTGTTAATCAATTTCTTGCGTTTCAGCTTTATCAGAGCTGGCTGTCGCTCTGGAGATGGGTAAACTTGTTATCATCAACGGTACATCTCTGATGTACGCCTACACTGCAGAGCTTTACCCAACAGTGCTCAGGAACACAGTGACAGGCGTTTGCATTACTGTTTCCAGAATAGGAAGCTGCCTTGCTCCTTTTTTGTTAAGCTGAGTGAGTCAATTTGTCTTCAATATCAGGTACTACATACTACACTTTTATCCAAAGCGACTTACATACTCAATACTGTGGGCAATCCCCACAGGAGCAATTTGGGGTGAACCTGTGACCCCCTGATCCGAACACCAGCGCACTATTCCACTGCGCCACACGCCTCCCATTACTCCCATACTATGTAGTTTAACTTGAATTTGTGTAAGCACATCGACACATTTATGTGGATAATCAGCACCTATGTGTTGTTTGGATGCTCTGTACACACACTTTTATTTTCCCCTTCTCCTTGTACAGGTGAATATTTTGAATACCTGCCTTATATCACACTGTGGACTCTGGCTGTTGTTTCTGCCTTTACTATTATTTTCCTGGCAGAGAGTTTTGGTGGACAACTTCAAACTATTCAACAGATGCAAAAAAGAGAAAGTAGCTTATGGGGTAAAACATACAGTCACCGTAGCACATGGGTCGGCAACAGGCGGCCCGCGGGCCATTGTTGGCCCGCCAGCAACAATATTTGGCCCGTAATTTTGAGAATCAAAATTTTTTTTTTACAACATAGGACCGACAGTCGCACATCAGGGTTTCCGTTAGCCGCCGATCGATCGGCCGCCGGTCATTATCGTCCGCCGGTCATTATCGTCCGCCGGTCATTATCGGGCCGATATTCACTCTTAATAGTTTGATCGGTGCTCTCTATAAAGGCCGATCAGGAGAGCTGGATCTGATCGATATGGTCATAAACGCGAGTGAAGTATAACCGGACCGAGAGAGATCAGATCAGCTGCTGAGTCTGACGGAGACACGCAGCTCTGCATAATCACCTGAAGCCCCGCCCACTGTTTAGCGAGCTGCATGAGAAATTGACGGGCTGTCAGGAGAGAGAGGGAGGGAGAGGGGAAAAGAGAGCATCCGTTTCTCCCGTGTTATTATTCAAAGTTAATGTAAACTTTTGAATAATGTACGTCTTCATCTAGCCTACTACAAGTAGGCTAGTTTGTTTCAGGGGCGGCGCCAGGGGGGAGCTAGGGGGTGCTGAAGCACCCCCCAGGATTGCCAAAGCACCCCCTAAGCACCCCCAAGAAATGTTTTTTTTTTTTTTTTTCGAAAATTATTATTTTTATTAAATTAAAAAAAGTATTGATTAAATCAAATGCAAATGTGAAACAAACAATTTTTTTTACCAAAAACATAAAGCCAACACAGGTGATATGATTAGGCCAATGGCCAGCACCCATTCGATTTTTGACCTACCCATAGGCTAAATTACTTTGTGACACTTGAGTGACTTCCTGTTAGCTAGAGCGCCAAATGATTTGCTAACAGCAAAGTGAAAAAATTATCGTTTTTTAGTCCTTAAACATCCACATGTGGACACTCAATCAAAACCACCTGAAAGCGAGAGGGATTCTGCACATAATAGATCTCTGTGTTTCATTCAAGCTCTGTGTGTGTGTGTGTGTGTGTGTGTGTGTGTGTGTGTGTGTGTGTGTGTGTGTGTGTGTGTGTGTGTGTGTGTGTGTGTGTCACGAGCCATTTTGTGTGCCTGCGCGAGCGAGTGAGAGAGAGCACCGGTGGGTATCTACCGGAGATCGTTGTGGTTAGCATCTGGTGCTAGCTAGCCAAGCTAACGGGTATAAGGAGCTTTTTCAACAACAAGGTGGAGGGAGAACTCTCTCCTGTCAGACTGAGAGTCTCAGATAACCTCAGCTCAGGTGAAGTAAAGGACTCTCAGTGTTTAGATAGTTAACTTTAGTCTAGTTATCTCAGTGGGTCTCAAACGGTTTGTTTTAAAAGGGGAGTGATTTGTAAAATGTCTATGAAGAAATAGAAAATCTGTTTCCAGTTCTGTTTCATATGTATGTTGAGAGATGTATCCATAGATCTCTTAATGTTGCTCTCAAAGTGCACTAGATTGATGCTTTTAACTTCAATATTTAAAAAAATCTCCTAGAGGAGGTGAGGTCCACTCCCCACTTGTAAAAATAGCACTTTACCCCTGCTTACACCTATATGCCGTGAGCTGATTATCGAGCCTTCATTGTAACAGTCGCAGGTGTGTGTGGGGAGTGTTGCAGTAGACAATTCAACTGTAGCGCTGGGAAACCCTTAATGTTTGAGCACCCTCTATGAAACGTCAAGCTACCCCACAGCACCCCCTAGAGAAAATCTCTGGCGCCGCCACTGGTTTGTTTGAATGTAATAATGATGTTTTTTGTTGTTTGTGGAATCATTTATTGAAAAATGAATCTGAACTTTTCGATCTGTAACGATTATAAACTGAAGCAATATAAAAATGAGCCCCATTAACTGAGTTTTAAACATCAGCATATCCGGTCATAGTCCGGTGATTATCTGCTAACGGAAACTCTGCTACACCATTCTTATTATTATTATTGAAACATGACCGGTGAGTTTCAAATTTTGTCCGGTAAAATAAATTCTGTCCCGACATCTCCGCTTACATTCATAATGTCAGCGGAGGGAGGGGAAGCGGCGCTGTGGAAGAGCAGAGTGGCGAGTGAGAGCTGTCATCTTCCCTTTACAAGCTTCAAACATGTATTTATCGTGTGATTTTGGAAATAAAAATGTCATATTCTGAAATCCAAGACTTTGTTTATTTAAAATCAAACAAAACACCCGAACCCCGAAAAACTAGTTTTTTTACGCAAATCCACGTTTATTTTGAAATGAGCCGTTGCGACTTTCGACTGATTTCGATAGAGCGGGTCACATATGGCAAATGTGTGGTTGTGGGGAACCAGGTCAATTAAAGTACTTATTTAACTATTAAATACATTGAGTTTGAGTAAAATACTTGGTTACTGATTAATTTAGGTTATAATATATTAAATTGCAAAGCAAAACTGCTGTAATTGATTTATTTTGTCCTTTGGTATTTTTTAAAGGTTTTCAACCTGAAAGAATCCTAATGTGTCCTTGAAAAGTTGAAATAAAGAAAAGGAACAAGGATTCCAGTTGTCCATGCGTCCTCTGTTGCCCCTCAAGCCTCTCAAATGTGGGCAAACACTCAAATAAATGCCAAAAACCCAGAGAACTTGACAATACTTATCAGAATAAAAGTATGTTAAATAACACTGCTACCTAGTGAATAACTCTACTTTACTCAGTGGAGGCTCGTCCATTGAGGAAAGGGAGGACCATCCTCCCTAAAATTTCAGAGAAAAATAAACTTTGAAGAGAACAATAAATAGGCTACACCTCAATTTAAAAGATAAGTCTGTTAAAATACAGATAATAGCCCTGGCTTTGGGACTGAAATGGGGCTAGAGAGGACGAGCCTCCCTTTGGGCGGGTCTAGCCAGAGGCTCTGGATTGGGCGCCTATATCATCAGTGAACCAATCAGCGGATCTGACTGCGCATCAGAGTGTTGATGGAGGGTTATCAGCGATATCAGAGTTTTTTCTGAACCGGGGAACAGGGGCGCTGCGCCCTCTTACCAAAATCAATTCCTTGAATTAGGCTTTGATTATGTTCTGGCCCGCCATCTTGCGGCTCAGCAAAAAATTGGCCCAAGGCCACGCTTACTTGCCTACCCCTGCCGTAGCAGAAAAAAACAACAAGGTAATGTACCCAAACAACCACAGAACTTCCTGATACTGGATGTTCAGACAAGATAATGGCAAACAAACAAAACATCTCATATCATTCTTTAATATAGTCACCAAAACAACCCCTCCTTATCCTCATCATCTACATGACTCTTAAGAGGATATGATGATGGTGGCATCACTTTTTATAGGTTACGTACATGTTTATGAGGTTAAAAATCAAAATAACTTTCAAGCTCCATGGTGCAGTTGAAGTCAAATGCTTTCACAAATCTAGTGACATCAATTGTTATTATTCTCAGTTATTATAAGTGTAAGGTGATAAGATGGTTATCCAGTTTTTGCTTCAGGCAGATAACAGTGAGGCTCCTTGTTCAAGGGAAAACGTCCCTTCTGCAACCTTTTCCTTTTCTTCTGTGTTTGTGAGTTTATAGGGTGTCTTCTTACAACATCTAGGGTTAATAAAGAAAACATTGATTCAGATGCAGTAATGGTTCACAGATACTGAACAGTGCTGTTGAGGCCTGAATGCACTGAGTGAATTATCACATAATGTAATGTGTTGAGTCAGTGTGACTGGCTAGAGATGCAATTTAGTTTATAATTAAACTGGATACGTGCAGTTAAGTCAAGCACTGTTAATCACTGACAGACACTTAATGACTATGTGACACAAATAAAAAATATCATTACAAAAAACACAATCACTGCCAAGATGTTTGTTTATTTAAATCAATCTGAATGTCCATTTTAATAAGACTAATTTGCTAAGTCTGAGCAATATAATTATAACTATAATATCTATATCAGTGGTTCTCAACTGGTGGGTCGCGACCCAAAAGTGGGTCGCGGACCCGTTTAGAGTGGGTCGCGGATGTGTGAGTGAAGAAAAAATTGGATTTCTTTTTTTTTTGGGGGAAAAGTCAAACTTTTATTTTGAAGGACCGATTTTCTAACGCTGTGCATGCAGTCGGAGTTGGACTGGAAGTACCGGAGACCATAAACGGTTTTGAAAACTTCTGTCACATAGTGATCATCTTCTCAATAAAATATCTTTGCTGATGTTTTTTCGAGTCTTCTGGCCAATCAGAATCAAGATTGTTGCCGGAAGTCCCCACGGAGAATAACTTTGCGGTAGAACTCTTTTTTATACATCCATGGTTACAACTTCAGATAGAAATGAACACATAATGACATATGACCCCCGGTTTGATGACTGACAGGTCACAGAACAATGGGAGCTATCTACCCTTACCCACAATCTCCTCTTTACTCTTCTCGCAGCAAGATGTCAGAACAAAGTGAAAAACAAACAATGGCATAAAATATTATTAATATGTCGGGTAGTAATAGATTTATTTATTTTCTTCTCAGTGTACCAGAATGCATAGTTTATGTTAGTATTTCTAAAAATCTCCTGGGGGAGAATCCCCCCAGACCCCCCTACTGGGGTTGGGTTTTCAGCATGCGTGCCTTTTTATATAGTTCAGCTTTGATTCCATCATCTCATTAAACCTTTTTTAAAAGCATACTTTAGTTCTGTGAAGGGATATAATATTGTATGCTGAAAAGCGTATATATTACAGCACGATTTTTTGTTGAATAGATTTGAGTGCTTCAAAATGTTGGGTCGCGATGTATTGACCAAGTAAAAAGTGGGTCCCGAGGCCTGACCAGTTGAGAACCACTGATCTATATTATTTGGAAATACATATATTTGCCTTCTGGTATTGATCTTCTCATCAGACTGTCAGAAAATAAAGAAGCGTATTTCATAAAATGATTATTCATGTTAAGCTGGCTTTGCTATAGTGTGCTGTTTGCCTTCATCTGGTTACACATAATTATGGCTGTGGTGAGTATATCATTTTTAGTTTCTGTAATAAATGTCCCTGGTGGGTTGAAGCCGAGTGCAGGAATATAGCAGGGACAATTATAATTTTGCTAGAATACAGACCTAGACTATTCTGCCTTTTTTATTTTTTATAAAAGCAATTGATAACGTGAAAAGATCATTCTTGAAGGCACTAGAAAAGGAAATTACCAAGTGGAAGTTATATGGTGGCAATATAAGGACATATCCTAGGCCGCTTTTTTATAATGTTAGCAATCAACTTTTAATCCAACTTAATATGTTAATATATAATCGTCTTTATTATGAATATGATGAATTGTAATTTATTTATATTTGTAGAAAATTGGTTATTTGGACTGTTTTTATTATTTATTTATGGGGGCCATATTTTTTTGTTTTTATTTTCTGTCTTTCATTCACATACAAATATATATTTCAGATTTAAAGCATACAGTTAGCCATGTTTCTTTCTTTTGATTTACTTGTAATGCCTGTAGACAAATGAGTTTTGAGCCAAGTACATATTTGCTTTTTAAAAAAAAAAATTCGAAAACCAAATCCAGTAAATGTTTATGTTAATTGTAATTAAAATACAAATGATTATGTTTAATAAATAATATCAATGATTTCTGGGAGATTTGGTGACAGGAAGGTGCAGTTTTACCCGGGGAAGTGTTGCATGTGACTGATGGTGTCAGGCAGAGGCATTCCATAGCTCTCGGGCAGCAGGAGGCTCAGCAACCCCGACGCAACTGTAATGCTTCCCATCAGGATGTAAGGCAGTGAAACGGAATAGCTTCCTGTGGCAGCACATCAAAGGAGGAGACAGTGAAAAACAACCATGGCCACAGCAATTAAAAACAACAAAAAGACAAAAGGTATAGAGACTGTAAGGATTTGATGTGGCTGCATCAGTACTTTAAATCAAATCCAATACATCTTTAAATAGAAGCCTCTAAATTTGAAGTGAAAGAGTTAGTCTATCCGATGTGGTTGCTAATCAAGCCTGCTTTTAGATTCTTTGTTCTTGTGACTTTTGTTCTGTTTTGTTTCAGTGGAGGCACCAGCTTGTTCTAACAAGAGGTCAGTTGGGTAAGAAACAGCTTTGTGCATCCAAATAATGATATGCTTGGGAAAATGTAAAAAGTGTAAAATAAGGCAAAGGTGAGAGCATCCTTACTTAAGTAAATGAAGTATGGGGCAATGATGCTGCCTATTCTGGAGGCCATGGAGCAGGCCCCAAAGGCCGTATTCCTCAACACTGTTGGGTAGAGTTCAGCTGTGTATGCGTATACAATAGCAAATGCTGTCGTCACCGCACACTTCCCCATCATCTCCAGTGTTATGGAGAGATAAACCAGGTCTAGAGCGGGTAAAGCATTCAGAGGGTTACATTGTAAGTTGAGTTATATAAAATGCAAATTCAATTATCCGCAATTATGTTTGCTTGCAATTGAGAAATCAGACACATTTTACATCTAAAAATACTATATAATGAGTGAACCTACATAGACAAACAAATGGCAAAAGGCACAAATCTTTGTTAATCTACTGTGAAAATGCTTCCTCTAAGGTGTATACTTGCTGGCATGAGCTGTACGAAGAGTAGAAACACTCCTCCCATGAAGAGGGTTGATGAGAGACTCAGTCGTCTGGACCACCAGCGAAACATTACCCAAGACAAAGTGTAGGCTGGTATCTCAACCAAAGCCGACACGAAACAGTTGAAGTAAGCGTTACCGTGAAGGTTTGCCGTGTTCAGGGAAAGAGCAAAGTAAGCAATGGTCAAGGTGTTCCTGTGGGGATGCATTTTAAACATTAATATCAATTTAGAATACGTTTTTAGTTAGTAGATCTCAGGCATGACACAACAGCGTAGTCAGAAAACAAATTAAACTCATATTATTGTTGTTCCTTTTCTAGAAACTCTCATCTAGTGTTTCACAAATGTCCCACAGCAAATTGCGGCCACTAAATATTACCAATCCATTCCCAGCTTTGATTTATTTTTCAAACGTAATTACAATGGCCCTTATAAGCCACTTGAGGTGTGATACAGTCTATGGTGATGACTGATACAAAAACTGAAATGTTAGTGTTTCTTTCAGAAAGAATGTCCATGCAGCTTGTAACTTATCAACCTGCTATGACGAAGGATATGGAGATTACGACTTATTTCCCGTCAGACTAAGTTAAACTGTTTCTAAATCAAACTGCATCAGTTTTCAGTAAGGAAGTGAGCACAGGATTAATACAGGCATACTGTGCAGTTATGAAACCTGATTTTGATCTGAGTTGCAGGCTTCACAGCACCTGACAGGTCATTATTTGTTGTTAGTTCAATGGACTGTCATTGGGCCTGAACAGTGTGCGTATGTGCGTTTGGAACAGCGTGTGTTCAGTATATGTCTGCGTGTGTGTATTTGTGCATGCAGGGTCACTGTACTGAATGTGGGGGTCAGCAGGGACTCACCAGACCAGCCACAGCGTGAGGGAGATCCAGCGGATGTTTGGGGAACGGAGCAGGTCACAGATGTTGAGGGCCTTACTCGTCTCGCATTGAAGTTCTTTCTGTGGGGCAGCAGAGCCCTCAGAATAACAAACACTTAGCAAGCAGAGCCATCACTCTAGAAATAATTTCATTAGAGAGATGCTTGTGTATGAATGGCCACTTGCTGAGTGACCACATGCATGTGCACGTGTTCACACATGTAGTACCCAAATGTCTGGATCAGGATTAAAGGCAAAAGTTCAATGTGCAATGAAGACTGGGGGGGGGGATTCTTGTAGTAATTAGGAGTAGAGGTAAAGGAAACAGATTTCTCCAGTTTATGTTTAAATTGTAACCTGTCTTATTTGTTATCTCCCCTTAGTCATAATTCTCAAAAAATACAAATCAAATAGGTAGTGTGATCATATTAATGTGAGTGTTGTAGTTTTGACAGTTTTTTCTTAGGTTGTCCAGTTCCTAAATTGTTGATAATTCACAACCCAACACCACATCTTTTGAATACATTTTTAAGTAAAAAAGTACTAAGTAAAAAAATATGATACTGGCTTATCATATTAGGAAAATGCCCTGTGCCCAGTTTTTATACATTTACATGAACAGTTTTTTTTCAGTGAGATCTCACCTGCAAAGGACTAAAGATGACCGGCGGTGGCTTGATTTTGTTCTTTTTAGCAGCATCTCTCACTATGGCCTCTGCCTCCTCCACTCTGCCCCGAGACAGCAGCCAGCGAGGAGACTCTGGGATGAACCTGCCTCAGTACACAACAGAGAGAGAGACAGATATTGAATCCCCCAGAAGAGAGAAATTATTACTGTACGGTAAAGGTATTTTATTTTACCTTATTCCGAGTCCTTTGACTGCTCAAATGATCCTCCATAAAAGTAAAACATACCTAACAAAGCCTTGATAAAGTTGAAAAAGGCTGATGCTGTTGCAATGATGTTACTGTTATTACATTGTGAATATAGTGACCATATATATGTATGACACTTTTTCTTAAATGTATACCTAATCCGACAATTATGCATGCATTTTAATATGATAGAGTAGATCCAAAAAATACATTAAAAAGTAATTGTCATAATGTCATAGTCACAAGTTTAATGTCACAACACCACAGCCCTATAACATTTATATTTTACTATCAAAGAAGGACTGTATTTATTATGTTTATCAACTACGTGATTAATTGGGACATTTTTTCAGCTTTAAAAAAACAATCTGTTTAGCTTTTGACAGGAACTATGTTGATTAATTGATTGACCTTCATGAACGTAATACTTAAAGCAACGCTGTACACTATACACCACTCAACACTGTAGAAAATAAAACACTTGAAATGAAACACAGCCAGAGATAAAATCAACTAGAAAAATAAGAACCCTACACATTCAAGCAAACACACCTACCTACCACCAGAGAGGCACATAGAGGAAGCCAGGCAGGGTGAGGCCTAAGAGAAGCATCCTCCAGTCTCTCAAGAAGTAGGCTAACAGTGGCAGGAACATGTAGCCTGCAGCAAAGAAAATACTCACACCTGCGGTGGAATAAATTGTCCGAACTTTTGGGCTCAATATCTCTGTCCCTGAAGCACAGGAGAAAAGGGGGGAGATTTAAAGCACAGGCAATGAATGACAAATTATTTTTCATGGACAAGTTAGCAACTAAATACTGTACAGCTGAAATCATCGAATAGAGACAAACAAAAGTACCTAGCACAAACGCAGCCACATAATTAGAGATGTGTCCCATCCCGACAATAAAGAACAGGGCGCAGAACACGGGCCAGGATGGAGCGAAGACCATGATGAATGTGAACACTGTCTGGACTGCCATGGTTACAAACAACACTATTTTTCTCCCATACCTAAAAATGATACAAAGCACACGTAAATGACCATGCAAGTAGATGCAAAGGTCAACCAATGGAACTCTCAAATGTACTAGTATGATTCACTGAAGTCGACAAAACACTGACAAATCCAGTAAGTACAATACAGTAGTGTAAATTGTTTACCAGAGTTTGCATAGCTGTTGAAGTTAACCATTGTGTTATGTTCACATTTCGCACCCTTTGGTAATGTTCGGGTCAAATTGAACTGGGACATATTTCAGGGTTTAAAAAAAATACAGAACTAAATTCAACATGCACAATTCCTTATATATATTGTCTTTAACTCATTCCCCAACAATATAAATGAAATATATGATTAGTTTTTGAAAATACTCTTTGCTGGATCAAATGTAACAATGGAAGTGTCCATTGTTTTTTGTGATAAAAATTAAATTTATGTTAAAAAAAATACACTGTAATAAAAACTTGTCAAGATCTGTCTGTGTTTTGTCTTGTCTTTTTCTGTCTTTGGTTTCCTGTTTTGTTTTGAAAAGTGTTCACCTCCTGTTTTGCCTGTTGCTTTCTGTCTGTTTTCCCTCCCTGATTACCCGATTGTGTTCACCTGGTGCCCCTGTGTTTTCTCCTCCCTCCTCACCTGTCTCTTGTTTGTTTGATTAGTCATGTGTGCATTTAGGTTCTGTGGTTTCTGTTAGTCTGTGTTAGTTCCTTGTTGTAGTTTGACGTTGTTCACGGGGAAGAGTTCTGTTTTGTCTCATATTTGCCTTGGAATAAAGGTGTATTTTCTGTTAATCTGCATTTGGGTCCTGCTTGCTTCGCTCATCCCTGACAGAAGGAACTAACCCAGAAATGGGCCCAGCAGATCCGTTCGAGCTGGAATTATTGCATTTTTCCTTTTGTTTGGCTAACTGCTCGGATCGATGGAAGAGAGCACCCCGAGTTCAGCAGCGAGAGGCTGTGTTGTCGGAGGCGCGCCAGATGGCTAGAGAGAAACCAGGTTTGGTGAAGTTCTTACCTGGCTGGATTTCAAAGATCCTCCCGGTGTGTGATTCCCGGTCTGCTAGCCCCAGGCATGCTAGCTCCTTGTCTCCCAATTCCCAACCTGGTACCATACGCCTCGGTGGCTTCCGTCTGAAGTCAACCCATGCTTCTGCCCCAGTTCCTGTTCCTGTCCAGGAGTCGTATTCTGGAACTCGTCTGGCTTATGGAGGTCCACGGAGTATTCAGGTGGCTGCTAAGAGAAGGAGTCGCAAGGCCAAGCTAGCAGCCCGAGCCCCAAGAGCCATGGTTCCAGCCCCAGTCCTTGCCCCAGCAACCATGGTTCCATCCCTGGTTCAGGCCCCAGAAGCCATGGTTCCGGCAACAGAACTGGCCGACACAGCCATGGTTCCGGCCTCAGTTCCGGCCCCAGCAGCCATGGTTCCGGCTTCAGTACCTGCCCCAGAAGCCATGGGCCTGACTCCAGTTTCGGCTACAGGGCTGGCTCCCCAGCCGACGCCAGCTCCCCGAGTCTTGTCGGTGTACCGCCCGACTCCAGCACCTCGTCTCCTGCTGGCTCTCCAGCCGATGCCAGTTCCCCGAGTCCTGTCGGCGTACCGGCCGACTCCAGCACCTCGTCTCCTGCTGGCTCCCCAGCCGACGCCAGCTCCCCGAGTCTTGTCGGCGTACCGGCCGACTCCAGCACCTCGTCTCCTGCTGGCTCTCCAGCCGACGCCAGCTCCCTGTGTCCTGTCGGCGTACCGACCGAAGCAAGTCACCTCTCAAGTCCCCTCTCAAGTTTCCTCTCTAGTCTCCTCTCGAGTTCCCTCTCAAGTTCCCTCTCAAGTCCCCTCTCAGGTCCCATCTCGAGTCTATTCTCGAGTCCTCTCTCAAGTTCCCTCTCAAGTCCCCTCTCAAGTCTCCTCTCAAGTTCCTACCCGAGTCCCCTCTCAAGTTTCCTCTCTAGTCTCCTCTCGAGTTCCCTCTCAAGTCCCCTCTCCGGTCCCATCTCGAGTCTCTTCTCGAGTCCTCTCTCAAGTCTCCTCTCAAGTTCCTACCCGAGTCCCCTCTCAAGTTTCCTCTCTAGTCTCCTCTCGAGTTCCCTCTCGAGTCCCCTCTTGTTCCTTCTCAGGTCCCGTTTCGAGTCTCCTCTCAAGTTCCCTCTCAAGTCTCCTCTCGAGTTCCCTCTCAGGTCCCCTCTCGAGTCCCCTCTTGAGTCCCCTCTCAAGACACTTCTCAAGTCCCCTCTCGAGTCCCCTCTCAAGTCTCCTCTCGAGTTCCCTCTCGAGTTCCCTATCGAGTCCCCTCTCAAGTCACCTCTCGAGTCTCCGTTCAAGTTCCCTCTCGAGATCCCTTTCAAGTCACCTCTCAAGTCAACTCTCAAGTTTCCTCTCGAGTTCCCTCTCAACCCCTTTCTCGAGTTCCCACTCAAGTCCCTATTCAAGTGCCGTTGGACGTTCCGCTGGGGGTCCTGCCAACCCTATGTCCTGTGCCGTTGGAGGTCCCGCAGACTACTCTTCTGCCGGGGGTCCTGCCAACCCCATGTCCTGAGCCATTGGAGGTCCCGCAGACTGCTCTTCTGCCGGGAGTCCTGCCAACCCCATGTCCTGCGCCGTTGGAGGTCCCGCAGACTACTCTTCTGCCGGGGGTCCTGCCAACCCCATGTCCTGTGCCGTTGGAGGTCCCGCAGACTGCTCTTCTGCCGGGGGTCCTGCCAACCCTATGTCCTTTGCCGTTGGAGGTTCCGCTGGGGGTCCTGCCAACCCTATGTCCTGTCCCGTTGGTTGTCCCGCCGACTACTCTCCTGCCGGGGGTCCTGCCAACTCCATGTCCTGTCCCGTTGGGGATCCCGCCGACTACTCTCCTGCCGGGGGTCCTGCCAACCCTATGTCCTGTCCCGTTGGGGGTCCCGCCGACTACTCTTCTGTCGGGGGTCCTGCCAATCCTATGTCCTGTGCCGTTGGAGGTTCCGCCGGGGGTTCTGCCAACCCTTTGTCCTGTCCCGTTGGGGGTCCCGCCGACTACTCTCCCGACGGGGGTCCTGCCAACCCTATGTCCTGTCCCGTTGGGGGTCCCGCCGACTACTCTCCTGCCAACCCTATGTCCTGTCCCGTTGGTTGTCCCGCCGACTACTCTCCTGCCAGGGGTCCTGCCAACTCCATGTCCTGTCCCGTTGGGGGTCCCGCCGACTACTCTCCTGCCGGGGGTCCTGCCAACCCTATGTCCTGTCCCGTTGGGGGTCCCGCCAACTACTCTTCTGTCGGGGGTCCTGCCAATCCTATGTCCTGTGCCGTTGGAGGTTCCGCCGGGGGTCCTGCCAACCCTTTGTCCTCTCCCGTTGGGGGTCCCGCCGACTACTCTCCTGCCAGGGGTCCTGCCAACCCTATGTCCTGTCCCGTTGGGGGTCCTGCCAACCCTATGTCCTGTCCCGTTGGGGGTCCCGCCGACTACTCTCCTGCCGGGGGTCCTGCCAACCCTATGTCCTGTCCCGTTGGGGGTCCCGCCAACTACTCTTCTGTCGGGGGTCCTGCCAATCCTATGTCCTGTGCCGTTGGAGGTTCCGCCGGGGGTCCTGCCAACCCTTTGTCCTCTCCCGTTGGTTGTCCCGCCGACTACTCTCCTGCCGGGGGTCCTGCCAACTCCATGTCCTGTCCCGTTGGGGATCCCGCCGACTACTCTCCTGCCGGGGGTCCTGCCAACCCTATGTCCTGTCCCGTTGGGGGTCCCGCCGACTACTCTTCTGTCGGGGGTCCTGCCAATCCTATGTCCTGTGCCGTTGGAGGTTCCGCCGGGGGTTCTGCCAACCCTTTGTCCTGTCCCGTTGGGGGTCCCGCCGACTACTCTCCCGACGGGGGTCCTGCCAACCCTATGTCCTGTCCCGTTGGGGGTCCCGCCGACTACTCTCCTGCCAACCCTATGTCCTGTCCCGTTGGTTGTCCCGCCGACTACTCTCCTGCCAGGGGTCCAGCCAACTCCATGTCCTGTCCCGTTGGGGGTCCCGCCGACTACTCTCCTGCCGGGGGTCCTGCCAACCCTATGTCCTGTCCCGTTGGGGGTCCCGCCAACTACTCTTCTGTTGGGGGTCCTGCCAATCCTATGTCCTGTGCCGTTGGAGGTTCCGCCGGGGGTCCTGCCAACCCTTTGTCCTCTCCCGTTGGGGGTCCCGCCGACTACTCTCCTGCCAGGGGTCCTGCCAACCCTATGTCCTGTCCCGTTGGGGGTCCTGCCAACCCTATGTCCTGTCCCGTTGGGGGTCCCGCCGACTACTCTCCTGCCGGGGGTCCTGCCAACCCTATGTCCTGTCCCGTTGGGGGTCCCGCCGACTGCTCTTCTGCCGGGGGTCCTGCCAACCCTATGTCCTGTGCCGATGGAGATTCCGCTGGGGGTCCTGCCGGCTCCATGTCCAGTCCCGTTGGAGGTCTCGCCGACTACTCTCCTGCCGGGGGTCCTGCCAACCCTTTGTCCTGTCCCGTTGGGGGTCCCGCCGACTGCTCTTCTGCCGGGGGTCCTGCCAATCCTATGTCCTGTTCCTCTGGAGGTCCCACAGTCAACTCTTCTGCCGGGGGTCCTGCCAACCCCTTGTCCTGTTCCGTTTGAGGCCCCGCCATCACCTGTCTCGCCGGGGGTCCTGCCAACTCCTGGTCCTCTTCCGTGGGGGATCCTGCCTAAGCCTGTTCCACCGGCTCCGGTTCCTGTTCGGCTGACACCGGGTCCTGCCCGGCCTCCGGAGCTGTTTGGCCTTCGCCCCACCCTGAACTCTGCCTTGCCCCCGGGCCGTCCGCCCGAGTCCCCCTTTTTTAACTCTGCCTTGCCCCCGGGCCGTCCGCCCGAGTCCCCCTTTTTGAACTCTGCCTTGCCCCCTGGCCATCCGCCCGAGACCCCTTCCTTGAACTCTGCCTTGCCCCTGGGCCGTCCGCCCGAGACCCCTTCCGGGTCCTCCGCTGTCAGCCCAAGCCCGTCCTCCAGACCCCCTCCACCCACCCTGTTGGCCACAATAAGCGCTTACTTAGTGATTAACGTTTTGAAAAACTAAAGTTAATCTTTCACCACCTGTCAGAGAGCTGCCCCGAAACGAAGGAGCCAGTGAGAACACCACAGAAGAAGATGGAAAAAGTTAGCGGGTTCTTCCACCTGTCGTCACAGACCAGGTCCCACTGAAAACACACAGGCAGTTTTTAAGTCTTCACAAAAAGTAGCAATTTCTTATCAAAAAACGGTCTAAAAAGTACCACAGGAGTGCATTTGTATGTGTATGTGTATAATCATAACAATTATCATAGTTATATCAAAATAAACTTACTTTGCAGAAATTTGAAATGTTGGCTTTTTTAACAATTATAACCTAATGGCTTATTTATTTGTTATTACTGGAAATAAAAAGTGTTTTATTTATTATGTCCAAATATGCACCTAACGAGAGTGGAATTAGACACATCTTTGAAAATGTAATACATTATTTTTTTTGTTTCCAACGATTGATAACTTGGTGGCTGAACAATTAATGTTATATGTGAGGCAATTTCTTGTAGATGTTGAAAATATCTCTGAATCTATTGCAACATCAAGATGAAATGTAGTTTTTGCACTCAATTTAAAAACTCTAAATTACTAAGTAGGCTACTGTAGCCTACTTGAGTAAAATGTTGAGAATTTGTATGCTACGACTCGTACTTCTACTCCACTACAATTCAACAGTAAATATTGTAGACTACATTTATTTAATACTTTTAGTTACTACGCAGATTTTGATTAATAATGTGAAATATAATTTATAATTGAGTTACAATTGGAGTAAATACAATGCTACCTTGCAGTATACAGAGTAATTAACTAGCTGTAACTGTACCACTTTTGATAACACTTTAATGTATCAATAATTATAATCAAAACATATGATAAATATTATTCTGGGATGGGCTAATCTGCATAATGAGTATGGTATGGTATATTTTGAAGCTTATTATTTTGTACTTTTACTTCAGTTACATTTCAAATGAAGGAATGTTCTTATCCTACACACTCCGGTTCTTTCACTCAAGTACAAGATCTGAGAACCTTTGCCGCCTCTGCTTATAGCCTACTTCCTTTATGAATATCATATACATTCCTCATGCGTCATCTCAGTGTCAGCTGCATCCCAGAAGCGACGCAGACCTGTGCACAAACCTCCGTTATGATGGTAGAAATGTACACGCTTTGGTCATACTCCCACCCATCCAAACAGCTCTCAGTCGGCACATTAGACATGTTAACGTCGACCCCGGGCAGAAAGCCTCTGTCCGATAAACTCAGCACATCTCCCAGCCTGTATCTGGAGCACTTGCTGGGCACTAACGCGCCGCTGTTGCTGTCCAGCTCCAGCGGGATGCTGTGGTTCCTCCACGCCGCCGTCAGGTTCACGTTTGCGGGAATGACGCAGCGGTGGGACGGCGTGTCGCCGACGAAGACGATGAACATGCCGCTGAAACCGTTAGGGATGACGGTGAGACAGAGTAGGAAAAACACCTGCTGCTGGAAATGTCCCCATTCCCCGAGAAAGGCAGTTGCAACCTCATAGTCAGTCATGTTGTTTGTGTTGGCTTTTTGCTCCTTGCACACTGTGGAAGGATTTTGAAGTGGGCTTTTCAAAAGGAGTGGTTTTGTTACAGCTTCTAAACCATCCCACCCACTGTATTCAGTGTTGGCTGAGATGTTCCTAATTAACCGATATTGAGAACATTAACAGGACACATACAGTTCCTGGATAAAAAAAAGAGTTACACAATGAAACTACTGTATAGCCTACTGTCCACTTTGCACCAAATAAACATAAAATACGATCTACATCTATGTCAACATGTTAGCTTAGATTACGTTTGACAAAATATAGCTTTGTTCAGTTTAAACATAATAGCGTTTAGCTCTGTCTCAGAATTTATAACGATGACCTATTGACCTGAGTGTGTGTCTGCACCTTTACAGTCTATGACTCTATGGCCTGCACCTACTCCATATAGGGTGAGCGGTCATCTTGTATTTTTCCTCAGGGGTATTTTTATTGCTTATATCAAATCCGCTAAATGTGTCCCTGGAATTATAAATAATAAGATCGTATGTTGCATTGGTCTAATTAGAATTTGTATGAGATCATTTGGTCAATCACACTAAATCAGAAGCTCCAGTTGATCCATACAGGTGTATCAAAGAGCAAATATCAAATCTAGTAATTAATGATGATTTCCACTTTGTACTTGCCGCACAAGACTCTGCAGGAACCAGACAAAAGATCTGCACATATTTAATCTCCCAGCAACTGTAACTGTTCACATTTGATCTATCAGATACCTTTGTCTGGCATTTAAATCTCTGTTGGATTGAAATGTTGCACAGTAAAAATAGCTGGAAGCTTTTAATGAAGTATGCTGATCTTTAGTTTGATTCCTGATTTTTTTATTTGTTCCTGAAAAGTTTTAAAGATGTCAAGACAACTCTTTACCCTTTTTTCTCTATAATGGCATATATTTTTGTTTTTTTCCTTGTACGATGTGAGGGTCTAAGGATAGAGGGTGTCGTTTTTCTCATACTGATATTCTGAACAATCTGTGCTGTTGTATTTGCTGTAAAGTGTCTCTACTGTAGGCTATTTTTATTATATGTACAGCACTTTGGCTCGACCAAAAATCGTTTATAAATGTGATATAAATAAAACTTGATTTGATTTGATTTGATAAAGTCCAAATATAAAGCACGGTCCAATCCTTTGTTACAACTACTTTAAGGTACAGTATGTCCTCTGCTTTCCAAGAATAGCAGACCCGTTTGTCAAGGGTGTGACAATAACCTGAAACATTCTTGATCATGGTTAAACATTATCTCAAAAGCTGATTATATGTTACAATAAATATTCTGAGGAAAATTGTTTTGCCAACAGTAACACAATCCACCCACCAGTGGCTCACTAATTGACATGTTAAATCCCGTTTGTCAATTTTTGACACTGTGTGCTGATGGCACCATATACTCCTCTAACATGTCATGTGCAGCTTAATTCGACGCCACTGACACTTTTAAATTTGTATATATTTCTATTTTATATAAGACTGTTACAACCTCATGTTGAGAGAAGCTTTGAAAACCCCATGTTAACGATTACACACGCTTGTTTCCCCACTTTGTTACAAAATGGATGTTTTAATGTGTTTTAACTATAACATAGATATATGATTTACAGGTAGAGTGGTTTCTTAGTGTTACAGGGTCGTGCACAGACATTGATCGCGGACACTTTGGACTGACAGTGCTATATAGCGCCTGCCAGACAGAATAATTTGAACAGGTTGTATTCAGGGTGGGATTGACGTGCGTGTTTCTTGCTTGTTTCCTGACTCAGGAGGAAGCCCTGAATGGAGGGCAGGTTGGCGCCATTTCTTTGTGCAGTCCTCACTGTAAATTATAGTCTGTTCCCCATGCTGTTAAATGGCTGAACCAAACCAAACACTGATGCACAAGCATGGGAACATACCGCATGATTTTAGATTGAATTTGCATCAGTATAAAACAAGCATAATGCTGAAGTCCGGGCACATACACTGAACAAAAATATAAATGCAACACTTTTGTTTTTGCTCCCATTTTTCATGAGATGAACTCAAAGATCTAAAACATTTTCTATATACACAAAATAACCATTTATCTCAAATATTGTTCACAAATCTGAAAAAATCTGTGATAGTGAGCACTTCTCCTTTGCCGAGATAATCCATCCCACCTCACAGGTGTGGCATATCAAGATGCTGATTATTGCACAGGTGTGCCTTAGGCTGGCCACAATAAAAGGCCACTCTAAAATGTTCAGTTTTATCACACAGCACAATGCCACAGATGTCACAAGTTTTGAGGGAGCGTGCAATTGGAATGCTGACAGCAGGAATGTCCACCAGAGCTGTTGCCCGTGAATTGAATGTTCATTTCTCTACCATAAGCCGTCTCCAAAGGCGTTTCAGAGAATTTGGCATTACATCCAACCGGCCTCACAACCGCAGACCACGTGTAACCACACCAGCCCAGGACCTCCACATCCAGCATGTTCACCTCCAAGATCGTCTGAGACCAGCCACTCGGACAGCTGCTGCAACAATCGGTTTGCATAACCAAAGCATTTCTGCACAAACTGTCAGAAACCGTCTCAGGGAAGCTCATCTGCATGCTCGTCGTCCTCATCGGGGTCTCGACCTGACTCCGGTTCGTCGTAACCGACTTGAGTGGGCAAATGCTCACATTCGATGGCATCTGGCACGTTGGAGAGGTGTTCTCTTCACGGATGAATCTCGGTTTTCACTGTTCAGGGCAGATGGCAGACAGCGTGTGTGGCGTTGTGTGGGTGAGCGGTTTTCTGATGTCAATGTTGTGAATCGAGTGGCCCATGGTGGTGGTGGGGTTATGGTATGGGCAGGCGTATGTTATGGACGACGAACACAGGTGCATTTTATTGATGGCATTGTGAATGCACAGAGATACCGTGACGAGATCCTGAGGCCCATTGTTGTGCCATTCATCCACGACCATCACCTCATGTTGCAGCATGATAATGCACGGCCCCATGTTGCAAGGATCTGTACACAATTCCTGGAGGCTGAAAACATCCCAGTTCTTGCATGGCCAGCATACTCACCGGACATGTCACCCATTGAGCATGTTTGGGATGCTCTGGATCGGCGTATACGACAGCGTGTTCCAGTTCCTGCCAATATCCAGCAACTTCGCACAGCCATTGAAGAGGAGTGGACCAACATCCCACAGGCCACAATCAACAACCTGATCAACTCTATGCGAAGGAGATGTGTTGCACTGCGTGAGGCAAATGGTTGTCACACCAGATACTGACTGGTTTTCGGACCCCCCGAGACCCCCCCAATAAAGCAAAACTGCACGTTTCAGAGTGGCCTTTTATTGTGACCAGCCTGAGGCACACCTGTGCAATAATCATGCTGTCTAATCAGCATCTTGATATAACACACCTGTGAGGTGGGATGGATTATCTCGGCAAATGGTTATTTTGTGTATATAGAAAATGTTTTAGATCTTTGAGTTCATCTCATGAAAAATGGGAGCAAAAACAAAAGTGTTGCATTTATATTTGTGTTCAGTGTAATTAAATATTTTCCATCTCCTGAATAATTGACATAAGCACAACCAATTTCCCTCCTTTCAATTATACAGTGTGGTGGTCAGTTCGGAGGTCAGTCGCCTGTATTGGTAAGCTTTTTATCCCTAGAGAAACTGTTGTTGGGTTGTCACATGACTATCATAACTTAATTCATTTAATATTATCCACTTTAAAAACATGGTTTGGATGCAGTGACTAAAATTAGTAGCATGTGAGCTATTCACTTTTGGTTTACCTTTGGCAACCAATTATTTTCTTGCTTTTTGAGAGTAGATTATGTCTTCTGTCGACTTTTGAAGAGTCGTTAGTGAAAGCCATTAGGTGTCTTCACTGATTAAGGATGATTACATAATGTTGCATAAGTGTCCTGGCCTTGCAAATGGGGAGCAAACATTTGCATCCTTTAGCTCAGTTAAAACATGTCTGATTAGCTTCCTGAAAGCTAATGTGCTCATTAAATACAGGTAAACAAGGTAAAATGTCACTAATATTTCCTTTAAGCTACCTCAGTTAAATTAAAAATGATATGACAGTAAAACAAGAATACAGTTTAAAAGGGGAGTGATTTGTAAAATATCCATAAAGAAAAATAAAATCTGTTTACAGTTCTGTTTCATATGGGTGTTGAGATATGTATCCATATATTTTACTGTCATATAGTATTATAGTTTTATATTTAAAAGTTAAATACGTGCTAATGTGTGTACATTTCCGAAACAAATATGTGTGCAATGGATAAAGCTAGGTTTAAAGTGATTGTATTTTTAGGATGTTGGCATAAATCAGCATATAGATAAATCCTGAAAAACACTGTTCAAACTTTGGGATAATAAAAAGGAATACAAACTGGAACATGTAGTGTATATAAGTGTTACTGATGAGTATTAGAAACAAAAAATAGAAATACAAAATGGTCCTTTAATACAATATGAAATTTGCAAGACACAACATGTGGACACTGTAAAAAAACCTCATATCACGATGAAAATTCCCCAGTTTTAATTGGTTAGATATAATATTAAAGTCCTTTTTTTTTGGTATAACAAGTTTTCTAAAATGTTTTGTTTAAATGTGCTCATTAGCCACATCCTAATGCTTACATGTGTTGAATTTATAACAAAGTTAATTATAATAAAACCAAAATTTCGAAAAAAATGTAAAGTTTTTTTTTGCCGGTATGGTCACGCCTTAATAGTGTTACTCTGTGGCCTGAGGAGGAACAACTACAGTTATGTACAGTACACCAAAATACTAAATTAAGGAAATACACATGCCAATATCAGTGTTCACAATCAATAGGATTGCAATGATCATATTTTATGTAACAGACTTATGTGTACTATAAAACTTTGGAACTATTGATATATTTTTTGTAAATCATTTTGTCTTTGTCTACTAAGGATTGTTAAATGTATATATGTATTGTACAATTCAAAGACTACTACAGGA